CACACATACACACACACACATACACACACACACATACACACACACACATACACACACACACATACACACACACACACATACACACACACACATACACATACACACACACATACACACACACACACACACACACACACACACACACACACACACACACACACACACACACACACACACACACACACACACACAGAGGACCCTCCCCCCCACACACACAGGACCCTCCCCCCCACACACAGGACCCTTCCCCCCCACACACACAGACCCCCCCACACACACAGCCCCCCCCCCCCCACACACACACACATTCACACTCTCTCCTGAACAAGAGTATGGGTGAGGAAGTGTTACATACTCTTAAATATGAGTAGATATAACTTATTAATTGATGTGTCATTTATTCAGTACATTCATTAACCTAAATGGTACTGATTCCTTTTCTGTTAAGCACTGACAAGTTGTTTCGTGTTTCTAAGGTGAAATTGGACTTATATTCTCTTCTCTTTTTTCAGGCACATATTTTTAGGGTTCACAAAATGCGGTCAGTTTGTCCTTTCATACACTCATTCTTGTGACACAGATGATCACACACTGCAAATGATACACAGGTTTGTAGTCAAAATGTCATTAGTGAGCTCAGTGGTTGTGAAATATATAATGCACTTTAGTAAAAGGTGGGTTTGACAATCTCTAGACATCATGTCTAGGGCTCAGAACTAGAAGGACCAGTGTCATAAAAGTCAGTGTTGAGAAAAACGACTTTGAATGACTATTTTTTTATGTAGTACTTTTAAAACAAACATTGCAAAAAAAAAGTATTTTTAGCTGATTGATTAATAAATTAGCCCCTGGATCATGCTTCACAGCAGTCACATGACCCAAAATACAAGTATTAGGCTAACGTGAGTGGCCACTTTGCTGGGTGTGCAGCTTGTAGGACGGGCACATGCGAACATTCATGTGCAGTGATAAGACTCTGTGCTCCTTTGCAATGTTATTTCCTCTTTTTATGCACAAGTGTTCATAGCTTTTTTGCAGCTTTCCAGCATCCATTTGATTTGCTTTATCTAGATGGGAAAAGTTTTCCTTGCATAGACTATATATCTCTCTTGGTAGTCTGTAACTCAGTGCAAGAATGATAACAATAAGTAACATGGATGGAAATATTGCAAAAGCCCCAGATGAGTCTAGTCACTTTCCAAGAGGTTTGTGCACGTGTGGCAAGTCTTTCCCATAACCCCAGCCTTCAGCCAAAACGGTCACAATGGCAAGTTCATGTCACCCCAGCCCACAGTCCAATATTCCCATGATGGCTTGTTCACATCACCCGCCCCACAAGCCAGTGCTAGTCGTGTCATCCAGCTCAAAGGATGACATTTACTGCTGTTGATGTTTAAACTTTTCCTCCTATTTCGATTTTTTTTTTTTTTTTTTTTCCATCCTATTACTTAGAAATATAAATGAATAAGCTTCCTTTGACAATAATTCCATAATACATTCATATAATTCCCCCCTCCCCCCCTCTTTCATTTCCTTTCCTTTCCTTTCCAGTTTGTAACTAAAATCTATTACCTGTATACTGAAAATGGCATATGTTTTAAGGAATACTGGATAGAAAAATCAGCCAACCCAAAGCTTTTTGTTGCTATGTATTAAAAATGAAGCCATTTATGGCAATCAGTTGCACGGAATATACGATTTTAACTTAATTGGATTTTGAAGCAATGCTCATGCAGCATTCCTAATGCACTGATGACATTAGCCTTTATAACATTTATAGAAACTAACATTTCCAGCTTAGCGGTAGGTTTATCTCAAAATTGGCATTTTTGTGGCCCTTCTAGCTCTAGGCCTTAGATTTGATCCAATGATTCTTTCCATCTGATGTAAAAATTATATTTTTTCCATATTTTCTTCACATTGAAGAGTAATGAAGCAATCACTGATCATACTGATTTTGTAAATATGAACAGATACATATGATATTGCATTTATCTTGATAACAGCTTCCTTAAAATAGTTTTTTGGTATTTCTTTCGATAGAATTAATATTCATAATATTTCCTTTCATTTTTTGTCCCACAGGTACAGGCTCCACTGGTGGGTGTTTGTACCGTATGCACCATTGAGAAAAGTAGCGGAGGTAATGCTCTTTGGTGACCAAGACCTCCAGGAGAGTGTTTATGAGAATATATTCATCTCTGTATGTCAATGGCCAAAGGACCTCTCAAAAATTCTTGTTTATGGCTGCAGGTAAATGGTGACAGAGTAACTAATCAGGCACTGTATCCATGGAAAGTTTAAAGTGCATGAAAACTTTTCTTCTTATTCTTCTTTTTCTTATCTTTTTCTTTTCTTTTCTCTTGTCTTCTATTCTTTTCCTTTCCTTTCTTTTCTTTTTTCTTTCCTGTCCTCTCCTTTCCCATATCTTTTTCTTTACTTTTCTTTTCTTTTTTCTTTTCTTTTCCGATCCTTTTTCTTTTCTTTCCTTTTATATTTT